TACTTCATATGGTAATTTAGCGAAGAGTTATGCCACCGTATCTGTATGCATTATAGGATATATTTTATTCAGCTTGTCGTTTAAAGTGAATGCTGTTGTTTGATATCCCTGGTATGGTTGCCGCTTGATGTGAGATGTTGACAAGGTGCCTACCTGTCTATTACCCACTACCTCGTCCATACTGGCTCCAGGAGACAGTTGGTCGTTGCTGGAGGGGACGGGGTGCACGGTTCTTGTGGCCGTGCTAGGCTCAAAGAGCGGTTCCATGCACTCAGTGTGGAGCGGACTACGGTCCAGCCACCGCCTTGTGTACGCTTGCTTTCCCAAATACAGCGTGCTTGTGTTTGCCTGTGAAGGAGTGTGGGCCGGCTCCGTTGATGAAACGTGGTTCCCATCCGCATGCCTCCCGGTCTTATTCCTTCGGGTTTACACTGGATAAGGGGTATGTGGTTGGAGCTGTGGGTGGTGCAGCGCAAGCCATCCATGGTCCCTCTGTAGGCGCAGGCGTCCTGTGGCTTGCCACAGTGACAGGCGAATCCGAAACCGGATGCCGCCAACCATGTACTTTTTTCATGTATTGCGGCACAATAGCACCTCTAGCTGATGTGTATAATGAATGAATGGATGACTGTTACTCCGAAAGCAAACAATGTAGACGACGGGTTTGTAAGTCAAATTGCCCAACCACGACTCACTCAATCTAAGAATATTCATATAGACGGACTCATGTTCACTATGATCCTAGTGTCCGTTTGGTGGATGTCAACAAATACAAAGATGTATATTTCTACACCTCGAAAAATACCCAAAAATCTACACTGGACGTTAAACGTTGGCATTCCTTCACATGCGTGAAACGTGTTGCAATTTGGTTGATCCATGCATCAAATATATGGAAAGAAGTAGAGGTACCCGTTCCACAGCATACCATCGAGATCATGCTCGATTTTCATCCGTCATACCGCGAACTGCATGTGCCATAACCCACTAGATGTATATGTTAGCTTTCACAGGTATGTTAAATGCGCGTTGAAATAATTATTACGACCGAGTGGCGCTGCAAGGTCAATGCTCACCAACAGTACTCAGTGTTCAGCGGTATCGCCAAAATGGTGGCCGAGTGACTCAACAGTCTGGGTCGTTGATGTCGATCCGCGTAGGTGCGGTTGACATTTCGCAACACCCTTAGCTCGTGCACAGCTTTCCGTAGTTGCGAGGCGGCAGAGCACCGGTGGGAGATATCCGTGTACTAATTTCAAACATATTAGCTAACGCACAAAACTAGCGTAGGAGGATACCATCTCACATGCAGATTCCATGCACTTCCCGAAAAAGCTGTCGTTCCGGGATCACAGCACAAAACCACGGGTGCTCGTACCAAGGGCCAACAACTGTCAGCCAACTTTGACCAGTGTGCGCCTAAACTTCAAACCATTAGTTTTGCGAGATTTTTCTCGACCAATCGGTTAGCGATGGGAAACCTCAATGAAACATTAAAGGATGCACTTCTAGCCAAATTTGGAGCACATTTGTCTTTTGCTTGTCAACGCAAAAGAACCTGTGGTATAAATATATATATATATATATATATATATATATATATATATATAATTTGTGGTACAGATATTGTGCCATCGAAATCATGGCTGGATAGGAAAACAGTATGAAGAATAAGAAAAGAACAACAACAAAAGCTTTTTTTGTCCAGTTTGCCACTCACAGTTTTTGAATATTTTTTCAGTTTTTTAGGGGGAGGAAGGAGGGACACTGTAACACACCGATGCACATGGCTGAAACTGACACCGATCTTGAGGCATGGCTTCCAAGGTCTTCAACCAGCAATTATCCGCACCTTTCGGACCCCAGCCAGGTAGTCGACAACAACACCTGTGGTACAGCCTAGGATTCACTCCCCATGTGTGCATAAGGAAACTTACCCACTGGAATTATGACAACATTGGGTACACACTAAGTGAAATGACTTGAACTCGAGTTTGGGTTTTGTGATTTACATCAAACATTCCACGGTGATTAGATTATTCCCCATGAGCCATGGTGGATCTACACCATTTCCCGGCCAAGTTGTCGTTTTGGACAACAGAAATAATCTGAGGGGGCATTCAACATGAGTCTACTCAATTAATTTGTTCCGTGCGTAGGAGCTGAAGCGTCCCACCTGCACCCCTATGACTTAGTGCGTCTGAGGTCCAATTGGCTGAAGGCGACGGGCTATACACGCACACCTACACACCTGCACAAGTGACTGGCGTACGCACGGAACAAACTAATTTAGTAGACTCATGTTGAATGCCCCCTCAGATTATTTCGGTTGTCCAAAAGAACAACTTGGCCGGGAAATGGTATAGTTGCCTTGGCACACTACACCATTAAAAGAAATTAAAAAGACAAAGGAAATGTGAAGGAAAAAGGCAAACTGAATAAAATGGAAATGACCGGACACGTAAATTAAGCTTTAGAGGTAAAAGCGCCACCGACCACAACATGACTGCGCTATATTCGACAAGGTAATGGACTCTGGTTTGAGCCGAACATAGGATAACACCCAAGCGTTAGATTATTTCCGTTTGGCTGCATTGTGAAACACTCCGAATAGACGGGTCCAACATGATCTGTAAGAAGAGATGTTGAACTATGCTTGAGCGAGGATGGCACTTTAGGTGAACATCCAGTTGTGCCATTGAGTTGTTGATCACCCTTTTAACTAAAAGAAAGAGGGCGGAAGTTTTAGAAGTAAAACCGTGCATTCTCAGAACGGACAGCGCGTGGATATGAACGACACATAACACTACGTCAACGATAGTTGCCAATCAACAGCAGCTCTCTCCGTCTATCATATGATAAAAGAACGCAAACAACAGACAATCACCTGCATCAAAACGTACTTTCATCGCCTGTTGCTCATGTAGCTCTTGATCTCGTGATTTGTTGACTTGTTCAACCATTTGGCGTAGGCGGTCGGGGACATGGACGGCTGAAAGGAAGGCCCAGTTATCATGAGAAAACCGAACACGACACAAATCAATCCATGGTTACGTCAGAGGGCTATCTAAGCCAAAATAGGGTGTTGACTTAGGGGATACCACCACACGCAGTTAGCAAAGTGTCTAGCCGAAAGGCAGCGGATCAAAGTAAGAGCATCGCGCTAATGAGAGCAGGTAAGTGATTTTCGAAATTAATTGGAGAAGGGATAGTGCGGTAGGTTAAACTAGTGAAGTGGATTATCGAGGTAGCCATGTACTAATTTTGCCTTAAAGATATCAGCTAGCAGGGGCACCAAAGGAGATCCCATGGCCACACGGTCAATATGGCGACACAGAAAGAAGGCATCAGTAGTATGCCGGTACGCAGTCGAGAAACAGCAGCCGACAACTTCGAAGTGAGGGACTTCCTTCCTCTTGACTAAATCATCCCTTGGCATCCCCTCCTATTCGTCTATCCACACCCCCGGCGCGCAAACAACGCACATCGCAGGAGTCAGTGGGCTGGAATGGACAACACGCGGCCCATCCATCGGAGCGGTTCACTCGCTGCCGCGCAACCACCACCGGTTGCACGTGAGCTAAGGATAACTCGAGGGTCGCCGTGCCCCTACGCAGGTCCGAAACCGCGCCGTCAGATTATAACACTATAAGTTCGGTACCTTTAGGCTACGAGCCGACTAATGTGTCAGCTGTATGACGTAACGGCGCTTCGGTGCCGCGTAACCACCACCAATCGCGTGTGGGCTGAGTAGACTGCGAGGACGTCCGTTCCTATGCGGATTCGAACGGGTGACTTTATGACTGCAAGTCAAGAGTGCAGACCACTCGGGTACCGGCCACTTGTGGCGATACATTTCACCATTGGAGGTGAACTGAACGTTTAGATGCAGTGAACTTATACCTCGATGCATACAGTGCCTAATTTCTACATCGTAAGCATTTGGGTCTGGTAAGAATTCCCCCGATAACTCATTTCTGGTTTAGATTTTGGTTAATGAAATAAGAATATTTGGTCTGTTGTGAATCAGCATTCCCCCGTGATTCATTCAAACTAGTGAAAGAATTCGACAGCGACTACCGTAACGATCCGACCGAAATGGAAAATTTCGGTGTTGCTTTCTCCCATCATTGCACTTCCCAACCGACGGCTTTGTCCTTGTCTAGACGCATCAGGTAAAGATAGGTTGACCTGGGAGTGGAACGCAGCACGTAATGGGTGGCGACTTTCGCCATGATCATTAGGAATCCGAATTGAAATTTGAAGTTGAACCAACGGAGCACTGGGTCAACAATACACAGAGGTGGTCCACAGCGCAGCGCCTTATAAATATAACGACGAGAGAGAAACATTGTACGATGTCGTAAAGTGTCCTGTAAACTTTACAAGCCCTCATGTGTATCATCCCATGTTAAGGTCACTAGCTACTGGGTGTTGTAAAACGAACGAACGCTGAATTCGCTTAGGGTTTACCACAAAGAAGAACACATACAGAGAGAGAAAATGTGGCAACGAGTGGATGGAATTACCGTCTTTCACCGGACTATTTTCGATATCGTGATAAAAAATCATGTACGCGTTCGAGGAGCGATGCCAGTATAATGAGCCGCTCGATGAGGTTGCTGAAGCCGATTCGCTGATGGACTGTTCCGTGGAATCCGGTTGGTGAGCATCGTCTGCACCGCTTGCGTTTGGATTTGGTCGATGCTTCTTTGCCAGAGGATCAAGTGGTTGACTAGATTCGCGGATCACAATGTCAGAGTTGGAGAAGTCGACGGGTGTCGTGGAAGCAATGGAAGCGTGCAACGGTTTTGAAGACCCAGTTACTTTGGCCAGATTAAACTGGGAGGCCGGAATAGAGCACACCTAGAAGGGGGAATAAGGAATATGAGCCAATTATCCTACGTGACTGATATAGTGAGTATGAAGGAAAAATATGCAATACGGAACACGTGCACACACACCCACACACACAAACAATGGCGAAGAGCTGTAGTGTGGCAGATGTAGTTAGATAGGTTTGACTGTAGCAGGGGGATTTAATGGGTTCACGTAAAGATTTGTCGCAGTTTGACTCAGACAAACAGACACCACATATCCAGGAAAGCGCTAGACGGCTTTTCGTCCTACTGGGGCTCGTCAGTAGCGCGTACCCGCCGAAGCTTGTTGGGTTCGAACCCACTACCTTACTAGTATATATATATATATATATATATATATATATATAATCACAAGCCGTGGTACAGAGATTGTGCGATGAGAATCATGACGAAATAATAAAACAGGAAAAGAATAGAAAGAAAAAGAATATGCGGCATTTTTCATTAACTTTCCCCCCCACAGTTTTTGAGTTTGTTCAACTGTTTTATTGGGGAAGAGGGTTTAACGCAGCACACCCGCCATCGAAGTCGGTCCTGAACCATGACATCCAGGGTCTTTAACCAGCGAAACTGTTTCTGAAATCCCAAACAGGGAATCGAGAACAACCGACCGAAGGTAACTGTTTCGTCAGCTTTTTCATGTGGCTTTTCCATGTTGTAGATTGTCCACCGTGCCATCTCGTCTAGTCCTGTCCAGCAACCACGAACAATGCCCGACACTGAAAATGATGAGCGGGCATGAGCAGTACATATGAAAGCCACCACAGAGGAAGCAGCGGGACTAGAGCCTCGAGCGATTGGCTGCCTCCAAACAAGACATGCTGTCTAACTTGCAAATTGGTTACGTGGTACAACCACGCCACACGGGCAATGGACCGCAAGCAACGGTGCCCAAAGACAGAAAGACGGCGATCGACGGTACGAACAGGACAAGTCTCCCAACCGTACAATAGTACAGTGCGGACAGTCGCACAATAAACCCGCCCTTTGATGAATAGACGTATGTCATGGCGGCTCCACAAGTGCCTCAGCTTAGAGAATGCGAGGCGAGTTCTTGAGATACAACTCGAAATCTCGTCTCCAACAGCTCCATCGGCTGTGATGCAACTTCCCAGGTAGGGAAAACTCCGTAACCTCCAGTGTATCACTATCAAGAATGAGTACAGGTACAGGTATCTGGAGGTCTTGGAAAAGAGCTTTGCACTTGGATGGGAAAAAAGCCATCCCAGACTTTGACGCTTGAATAGCCAAGCGGTTGAGTGTAAGTTGGATGGCTTGTAGATCGTCAAGCTGCAAGACGATATCATCAGCGTAGTCCAAGTCAACAACTCGGCTATCTGGGACGAGCTCAACGAATTGCCAAGAGGATTTTTGAGGACATCCTCAATGGCAAAATTGAAAAGTAATGGGGAGATAGGGCATCCTTGTCGAAATCCACTGGTGACAAAAAAGGAAGGCAAAAGCTTGTCATAAGACCTAACTCTATCCGAGGTCAGACTGTACGTAGTGGGGAAACAAACTTCCCGGGAACGCCATTCCACAACAAACAGTGCCACAATGCATATTTGTCGACAAGAACGAAGGCAGCGCGGAGATCCAGGAACACGGTAACCGTTGGCTTTTGGTACACATAGCGGAGCTCGATGATCTTGCGGAGTGTGAAGATTTGATCGATGCACTCGCAGCCAGGGCAGAACCTAGCCTTTCTTCCCGCTGTAGCGAATCGCAGATTGGAGATAGTCTTTGAAGTATGATGAAGACCAGAACCTTACAAACGACGGGAACCAAGCTGGTAACTTATAGTTGGAGCACGTAGTGCGCAGACTCATACATGCGGTCACCACAAACCCAGGGAAGCGCAAGACGGCCGTTTCGTCCTATTGGGACTCATCATTAACGCACACGCACCGAATCCTTCTGGTTTCGAACACATGGATTTAATCGTGCGAGACAGCGACTTATTCCAGTGAGCTATGGGCGACTGCAACGGACCGCCATGACTAATATGTAACTGTGATATAATGAGACTTATCCTCCACTGTCATAAACGTGCAGAGGACATGGCTGGTCCCCAGAGCAACGACTGTCCACTGCATACTCATAACATACATGACAGTGGAGGATGAGCCGCATTATATCGCAGTTAGATATCAGTCATGGCGGTCCGTTGAGGTCGCCCATAGCTCACTGGAATAAGTCGCTGTCTCGCAAGATTAAAGCAGTGGGTTCGAAACCGGAAGCATTCGGCGCGTGTGCGTTAATGATGAGTCCCAATAGGACGAAACGGCCGTCTAGCGCCTTCCTGGGTTTGTGGTGACCACCTGTAGGAGTCTAGTTGCGACGAATCTTTAGAAAAATAGAATATGTTGAGTTCGTCCATAACGTGAAAAAACCCTTAATGAAACTATCAAGAAAAGTTTCGGTACAATGAAAAAGCCCCGTACTTGTTGGTATCTTGCGCTAATGACAACATATAAACCTCGATGATTCTCCTCAGCAACGCACAATGGTTGGTTGGTGAGAGATGACCGTTTACTCGAGTGACACGTATATCCCTTTTTGCTTCTTTGATAATAAAATTACGCATTTTTGGTGGTGCATTGAAAATGCACCCACCCGGGCACAATGTGCTTAGCTTGATTTGAGCAACGATCAAACAAGGTTATGATTATGCCCTTCTACATTTTCGGATCGCGACTCATTAGGCAATCCATTTGCATACATATCAGACGCAGGAATTAACGGTATTGTGGCACATGTGTGAACATTACAACTCGAGAACCCCACTTGAACTCCGCGGACAATTCGCACTTCCAGCGCCCTTCTCAAAACTCAAACCGTCCAACCTGTCTTCTGCACGGCAGTAATATTCAACCGATTACACAACAGGCCGCGCTATATCACAATTAGCAGCTCACCAATGTCGATCGCTGGCCTAAGTCATGGATATGTAAAGGTAAAGCCAAGGGTTCTTGCAATTCCGTGTGCAGAGAGAGAAGCACTGTTGGTAAATTGAGATGGGATGAAACGGTGATCAAACGGTTTTCCAGATGTGAGGTGAATCGTTAAACGAGTCTACTCAAAATTCCATTTTGCTCACTGAGTTCGAAGCAACAAAGTGCAAGCAAACCGCTTGCAACGCCTCGCGCTGCCGTGATTGTAAAAACTGAACATGAATGAAAATGTGAAAATAAGCGATTACAAAAAGAATCTTATAAACTCTCCCATTGAAAGACAACAAATGGAGATCAGGGGAACTTCAGCCCCCGTGATGGGCAGTGAGAGGGTACATCTGGTTGGTCGCATCCAGGAAACTAGTCAAAATCGGCGCGTTTGTCTATCAAGTTAGATGTGGCCTCGTGAGATTTGCGTAAACAAGAAATGGTGCGGTGACAAGTGCGTATAATTGCGAGATCGTGATGACGAAAACAATCCACAACAATAAACAGTAACAAGATTAGGGCACCTAATGTGCAAGTCACCTCCTCCGGGTACGTGTGCGCGATCTCGCAATACATAATCAGCCCACGCGACACTGTCAGCGGTCGTGTGGCAGTGAAGCGTCGGCAAGGTGTACCGGTGTACCGCTGATGTCTTTTCTATTTCTGAACAGAAATGGATTTTCTTTACGGTGCAGCATTCAGGCGCTGAATCAGACATTTGAACACCCATTGGTTATGTCGATACTGAACGAGTGCGATTATAACATTCGAGGAGAATCCAGGTGATTTCGTCTCCAGGTGAAAATAGAAATGTACCCCTTTACCGGCTTTTTGATGAAACACTGAAGAGGGATAATCAATAATTGTGGTTCTCGCTTAAGCAAAAAGTGCTTGCTATTAAGCAAGCGGTTATAAAAAAGTGTGCTCACGATGCCAATGACCACTTAGTACACTAAGATATGCGGCCGGTAACAGCCAATTCCGCTTCGTATGCTATAAAGACAAGCAACGCAAAGGCTTAACATGACTCGGTCAGATCGAGTATTTTCCTGGATCGAAAACACGTAAGCAAAAAGTAGTCACATGAAATGGGTAGACGGCTAACGGGTGGCCAATTGGTGACAAGTTTAGAGACAGCAAGCTGTTCTTTCATGCACAGCAGTGGCCACACTCGATCGATAACTGAGTTTGAGTATCCTACGGATGTGGGGCCGCTGATTGCAGAGTATGAAGATGAATGGCTCTTCGTAGATGGCCTGGTGGGTAATGCTCAGTTAATGCATGGTGCATAGAAACTATTAAGGGGGTTGCGCATTTTGGAAGGTTCCCCATAGGTAGACTTGGTCACGCAACCATAAAGACTTCCAGAATATTGCTAAAGCAATTTCCTCCTACAGGAAAGCGCCAATGGAGCGCTTTCGTCGAATCCTAGTGGGTTCGGCAAAACTACATTGCGTTTGAGAGCCAGTAAAAATAATCATTGCACCAAAACTAGCACAAACAATAGCAAGCCGCGACCAGATGAGACGCCAAGAAACCGATAGGCTAAATCAATCGGTCACATAAAACCTGCGACAGTTACCCAGTTGAGGTGATAGCTCCTATTGAAAACAGCAACAACAGAGTGGGAATCGTAATAAATTGTCATTCAATCTACACGGTAACAAGAGAGAGGAAACACCCCAGCCTTTGCGTTGCAATACAATTCAATTAAAGGACAGCGAAGCCTCGGTATTACGTACCGGAACTAGCAACAGGCGTGCGTGGGCTAAGGAAAATGCGAAGGTTGCCCGGTCACGCACGCAGGCTGTAACCCGCGTCCGCGGATTAAAAGGCGGGCTGTGCTCCATTAGGCTACTGGCCGCGTAATAAAACGGGCAATAAGAAAAATAAATACAGAATAGCGTTATGCTCTATTTTATGGTATGCATTAACGGTGACATCGTCCTTGGATGGGGCGAGATAAACAATATCACAACAAAAATACCAGTGAGGTCAATTCTACGCCATGTCAACAAGTGTGTGCAACAAACTTAGGGACTCCAGTTCGGCAGTCGGGACACACCAACCGACACTAATTTCGAAATGAGGGCTTTCATCCCACTTGACCAGGTCTTCGGTTACCCTACCCTTCCCCTTCTGCCATCTACACACCGGTCGCGCAAACAACGCGAGCCGGTGTATTGGCGCGCATAACACGTGACCCAGACTTCGGAGACTGTTAAGTGAAATAATAGGGCCGAGCGCCTCATTTCCCCTTATTGCACCATAAACAGCACGCCGAACACCCCCATTGCTCACTCGGTGTTCCCACCAGATGTGAGCTGACTGACGTCTGTCGGTATGATTGGCCAGGTTTCGCAACGTACAGGGTGGTTGAATACACGGCTGCATTGTAGTCTACTTCTCAGGGAGATTGATGTCGTGCGTGCGTCACAAGTGGCGAAGGACAACAAAAGCGCCTTAAACTTTTGCTGTACCGTTCGTGATCTCATTTTCCATTTCACAGCCATCAAGTAGTTGAAACTGATCACCACCAAGGGTTAACGCAGGTGATTCAGGCTGGCTAGCCGAACAACCTCGTGGTGCCAGCTGGGTGACTCGGGTTTACTCCGTTAAAACAAATAGTTCGGGGTGACAGTGCTCCAGGAAGTGGTGGGTTTTCGCCTGGTAAGCGTTCTTCCCATAAAAATGCACAAATGTCTGTTTAACAACACTGTGACGTGGTGGTTGTGACTCGCAACTAACTAAAGTCACCCCTCGCATATCCGGAGAATCGCTTTCAGTCCACCATCATCAAGTATCAATTTAGCACTGGCGACATGCTCAAAAGTGCAGTAAAGCATTTGCAAATCCCATTAATAAGACATGGTTAGCGGCATCCGGTTTCGAAATTGCATGTCACTGTAGCCAGTCACAGGAGGCCTGCGCCTACAGAGAGACCATGGGTGGCTTGCGCTGCACCACCCACACACCCCATATCCAGTGTAAACCCGAAGGAATAAGACCGAGAGGTATGCGGATGGGAACCACGTTTCATCAACGGAGACGGCCCACACTCCTTCACAGGCAAACACAAGCACGCTGTATTTGGGAAAGCAAGCGCACACAAGGCGGTGGCTGGACCGTAGTCCGCTCCACACTGAGTGCATGGAACCGCTCTTCGAGCCTAGCACAGCCACAAGAACCGTGCACCCCGTCCCCTCCAGCAACGACCAACTGTATCCTGGAGCCAGTATGGACGAGGTAGTGGGTAATAGACAGGTAGGCACCTTGTCAACATGCACATCAAGCGCAGACACACCGGGGATATCAAGCAACAGCCAATCACCTGGAACGACAAGATGAAATAAAACAAATCCTATAATGCATACAGATACGGTGGCATAACACTGCTAAATTAGCATATGAAGTAAGTTGGTTAGCAACGAATATGCGATAAGGAAAAAATGTCCACAAGTTAGTTAAAAATGCTACAAACGCGACAAAGTTACCGAACATAAGCCCAAATAATGTAAGCAACGTGGCCAGTTAATAGAAGAGTATTCAGGTAGGCAGAACAAACCAAATAAAGTGGAATGAAATTTAGCCAGCTTAAAAAGACCTAGTTTTAGTGTAAGTTGGTTTAGCCCAACTGCGGTGAAGAAGCATCAAGAATGCAACATCAGCCTATATGCACACATAAACAATCATACATCAACATATGTGACAATCCTATTGTTCAAGGGTATATTATTTGACCACATTTTGTACATGGTCATGCCTGTGCAGGTGTGCCTCGCCTAGTCGAGAATAAACATTGTAGCTATTTATATATTTTGGAGAAGCCCTTTACACTTGGACGGTGCAAAGCTCAGACCAAAACAGCAGACAAACATTGCTAATTTGTCCAGTGCTGTTTGGCATGTTCATGAGCTGTCACAAATTAGAGTAATATCGTCCGCGCGATAAATCAGGCGGGATATAAGTGTGAATGTGAGAATGTGTGCTAGCTGGTATAAAAAATGCAACGACTGGTGGGGCAACGCAAAAGACTCACTTCAGTATCATTACAAATTGTCCACAAGTCGTCGCCCTTTGCGTCGCGAGCATCTGATGTGTCAGTACTGTGATGCGGTCGGCTAGTTTCCCGAACAACAGCCACATAATGACCGGAGGTCGGTTGGGTGCCAATGTGCAACAGCACACCACAAAGCTGGTATGATCGACGGTGGACTGATCCTGAGGACAATGGGTTAGTGAAGAGACGAAGGGGGCGTGGGCTGAAGCAGAGGAACTAACCGGATCAAAGAATGGTGGTAAGTGGATTTGGACACACTGAATTCGGTTAAAATGAACCAGGAACGGCAGTTGTGCAAGCGTAGTGGTATCCGTCCATCCCATATACTGTAGGGTGAGTTGAATAACAAGGGCCCAAGCCCGTTCTACGTAATTCATGTTAGTTTGTGGGACGATAATATGACGCTTGGAGTCAATTCAACGGATGAACTAGAATAATAAGTGACGCATTCATCTTCAAAAGCGCGTCTGAGGGATGAGCCCAAAGACAAGGTCCACAGTTCGGTAGTTGAAAGAGATGCGGTAATGGTCGCCCTCAGCACTATAGTCTAGGACCAGTTTCATCCTTATCTATATTCTTTATACAAAATGACCAAACATGGAATTTGAACCAGGGATTACAAAGATGATGGCCGATGCCTTTCGCCACTATGCGGCCAGTAACAGGAAATACATGCAAACTACAGACCACCAACTGGAGAAGAGATGGGCAATCCAGTGGATCCGATACCAGCGAACCTATTCAACTCGATGATCGAGACAGAGATGAGCGCAGAAATGGGTGTAAGTGGATAATATTCTGTTCTCCACATGAGCAAAACAGACGTAACATTGTCAACTGTTTGAACGCTGTGTAAGTCAGTTTGAGCGTGAGCAGTGGGAAAAAAGTTAGGTTGCCTACAGTTTGCAGGGTTATACCTGAATTCAGTGCAAAATGACTTATGTCGAAGCGGCACAAGAAGAACATGCAACTGTATGAAAAGTACGTTGCTAAAAAACGACGGCTCAAGGAAGGTTATTGCGAAACAGATCAGAAGGTCAGCGCGGGAAAGCGTTCACTGTGTCAAAGAATAAGTTTATATCGGGCTTCCAACTAACGATGATATCGCCATAGTGGGGGAACAATGAAACGCATAACACCCACTGTTTAGAGGGTTTTTCATAACACTGGTGCTGTTCGTATTAACCAACCACGTAAACTGGTTGATCCTACGACAAGAAAAGGACAACTCGTCCTTGCGAAACAAGCTGAGGATGAAGAATTAGCAAGATCAATGGTAATACGTAGCAAACGAGCTCGTTTGCAGTGGTTCATCTTCAGGCTAATACAGCACGATGAGAGAAGTTAAAACATACACACTAATCAAACGTGATGAATAAAAGAATAGAAATGCCCAATCAGTAAAGCCAAATGATTGGTCTGCGCAAGGTCAATTCAAAGGACATTGCGTGATCTCTATCGTTAGTCGAAGTGGTAAGTGGCTAGGGCAGCTGGATGGTATGTACGAGTTTCTTTTGAGCGAATATCTCGCTGTATTGGAGCCATATAGTGATTACCCCAGCTGTCACCAGTAGACGTTATCTAACCGTTCGCGTGTAGAGTCCGGGTGTATGAAGAATGGGCTGAACTGCCTCTTGCGTGTTGACCTGGTGATTCGAATCAATCATGTGCAACAACATGGCACTTGTTACCGTCTTCCTTATGCGTCTCCTGAGGCAAGCATCCAATGCTGCCGAATTCATTTGGACAGACGCACGGTAGTTTTCTGCTCGACGCCAACAAGAGAAGTTGCACACAAAAGGAGAACTCAGACCGCAGCAATCTGTCCATCGGTTGTTGGCTCACAATCAGTGTTGTAGTGAAACTGACTCGTAAGTCGGCTGCAGGGAACGCACTGGTGATGGCATCAGAAAGATTCCTGACTGCGTGTTATCACGTCGTCTTTGAATGGTTACGGAAGGTGGATTGGCCGCTTTTCAGCGGAAACTGGTTCCCCTTTTGTGTTCGTACTTCCATTTGTCGACGGTCGAACTTAGCTGGGTATGCATTTTTGTTGGAACATACAACGGATAAAACCTAGTTCCTCGGAAAGCGTGTCTGCCATACATATCCTTCTCGATCGCCCCGTTGAACAACGGATGAGGTTTTGTTTCTGGCTTATTGGAACAAAACTAGCTTAATGCATATATTCTCTGTTCTATGTTGTTTTCCTGTGGACTCCCCCTGCATATTTTTCCCTCCAATGTCATGCTGAACTGGACATCTAAAAATGCTATGCAGTTATTGCGTGCATGCTTGATCGTAAACACTATATTGTCACGTACATTGTTGAAATTGCCTCGCAGAGTCTCAGTACGTATATGGCTATCAGCAAAACAAAATATGTCGTTTAAGTAGCGACTGTAGTACCTTGAAATTATGATAGATTCACCCAGCTGGTTATGCTCCAGTTTATTCATAAGGACGTCCGCGAGCAGTTGCCCAAACCCAATGCCACCCCATCGACTTAATAATAAATTGTTCCATTAAACTGTAACTGGATATTCTTGGTGCATATAAGCAACCGCTGTTTTAGATGCTCTGTGGGGATGCCGATATCAGTTCGGGGTAGCGAGATATAGTCACATAAATACTCTATAGATTTTTCTAGTGGAATAACGAGAACATCTGTCGTCCGGTTACTTCACTTTTTACCAATGAGTAGAGGAAGTTGAAAGCATCTTCGGGACTGTACTTGGCTAAGGCTTCGTTGACTGGCTCTAAACGTTTGACAATCCATTTGGTAAATAGATGAGATGGAAGGTTATACATATCTAATATTGGTCTTAGTGACAATCTTGCTTAATGGATTTTCCGTAGGCCATAGAATCTCGGAACCACCTTTCTACTAGGTCTGATGTGGTCAAAAAGATCGGATTCAATTACGCCGCCTTGTTGCAGCCGTCGCTGCAGTTTGGACATAGACTTGTCTATTGTCAGTATTTTGTTATTCTCGTTTTCCATTTTCCGAAATTTCGATCTGCCGCTAAGAACAGCGTTTATCTTAATGAGATGCACCAAGTTATCCAGCAGGACTATATATATATATATATATATATATATATATATATATATATATATATATATATATATATATATATATATATACGAATAGACAAGGAGCCAGCAAAAACCAGGAAAAACAAATGAAGGTACAGCTGTCATAAAAAGAAAACCGGACACAACACAGAGAAATCCATGGTTTCGTCAATGAGCGAGATACTACATGGTTTCGCAAGCCGAAGTAGGGTGTTGATTTAGGAGAGACCACGCCGAGCCTTTGGCTAAATAGCCTACCCGCAAAACTATGGGACGAATTCAGAGAATCGCGCCCATTGGGAGTCGGTGACTGATTGCTCAGTTCATACGCCTTTTGTTTGTTCGGTTGGCAAACTAGGTACCAATCCTCCCCACAATTCGAGCTTTGTGTTGCTAGATACATGTTCCACCGGAATGAAGCAAGGGGCAGTGATTTTATTTGATGACGAGTCACATCCACGACGTCGCAATATTGTTAAACAGGACAATACCGGCACCCTTATCTGATCTGTATAAAGGCCTATTTCCACGGCCCTACAGCTCCTTATGATCGGTAAAATATTCGTGCTTCAACAAGTACTTCGCAACTGCTTGTTTAATAAAATATTGGAAACACACGCTAACCAGAGCTGATTTATGCTGCTTTACCACCATTGCCTATGACGGAGTGAGCGTGCACACTTGGGCAAAGAGGTTTTCAAACTGAACTTCGAAATTCAACTGTTTAGCATAAACTGGAACATTCCCATTTCAGTATCAAGAACAAAAGGCCGAAGGTAAACAATTGTTTTCGCTGATTCATCTTCAGACCCGTACAATCATATGGGTGAAATAGCAATGGGCGTACAAGTGGATTAACGATCAGTTCAAATGAGACTGATCACGTGCCGAGCAAAGGCATGAACCAGTAACAAACAGCAAACTAGGACAGAGGTACAGTTGCAGGTTCAGACAGTAGAGTAAAAAGAACTTTTCATACGACTACCCTTCAAGGGAGACGCCGCTGCTGAGCGTGTAACTAGAAGCCTTTCAACAGCTGTCAAGTCAACTTTTATAGCAGCCAAGTTTAGGTGTGCCTTTTCCACGGAGCCACTCATCCGTATTTACAACAAAGACAGGTTACCGACGCTGACCGCTTCTATGGTAATTTATCAGTTCGAGTGCGCTTGTGGCGCTACTTACATCGGTCGAACGGCGCGGCAACTGTCGAAGCGCATTAAGGAACACCTACCACGCTGGTTGCGTCGAGGCGGTACTAGGGCTATAACTAGCTCAGCTATGGCTCATCTTGTTGATAATGGGCATGAGGTTGACCCAGTCAGTCCCTTTCGAATACTATACAGGGTCCCTCCAATCCAGTCGAAAGGCCTGCGCCTCCGCACCCTTGCTACTGCCGAGGCGATCAGCATTTGGTTGTATAAACCGCTTTTGTGTGCACAAAAGAAGCTGATCGAAGCTGTTAAGCAACCTTGGCCAGCCAAAACGGATCCTTCTGAGAGCAACTGCAATTGTGCAACTGTACCTCTGTCCAAGTTTTCTGTTTGTTACTGGTTCATGCCTTTGGTCGACACGTGATCAATCTCATTTGAACTGATCGTTAATCCACTGCTATTTCACCCATATGATTGTACGGGTCTGAAGATGTATCATCGAAAACAATTGTTTACCTTCGGTCTTTTTTTTAGCAGAACTTGAGTCCAAGTGATCGAATCTCAATTAACGTCATATCTAATTGCAAACACGAACTCTAGAGCATGGAAACGCACGAGAATGGCTCATACACGTCGTGTGCCCTGTGCTGATGAAAACCAACCGTATCTTCTACAGGTAAACATGCACTGCCCATTTGTCACCTTGCTGATCCAAACGCAGTATTCAAAGTGGCGTGCTGACATGTTAGCGACCGCTTCTGACGTTTCTCTGACATCAACCGGATCAAGTGCGCACTGTGTATGTGCAGACAAATACTTAACAGCCTCAGGATAATGTGGACATTAGGGCAACATATTCATATCTAAATACTATCTGCAATATTGTCTGTCCACTAATTTCTGAAACTAAATACAGATCGGACAATGCCTTACCGCTGTGCTATGTATAGTCGTCTTGTGTATGGAACGACACATGTAATATAACCTAGTACGAAACCAAGCGGAGAGTGTGAAGCAGAGACCGAGTTACACGAAAACCACCACTTGAAATACGGCTTCCGTAATCGAAGTTACCAATAAACTGAGATCGCTTGCTGGCACCAAAGCAACTGATAGTCCAAAACTTAAAAAGTTATTTTACTTTAAAAAAATTATTTTAGCAAAACAAAAAGATCACTAAGGCGGCAGGTCCTGGTTGGTCAAGCGGACTGATTAATGTTACCGCTATACCGTTAAACGCATCACAAATACGATAGTGGCGAAAACGCGACGGCAATGGGAAAGAAATTTCTATGTTTACGATACAGTGGCAACATCAACGGAAACTGTTCCAAACAAAGGAATATCTCCTAGCTGATTCGCAGAAAAGATAAAAAGAATAAAATAATGTGTCAGCTGTACGCCGTAACGGCGCTTCGCTGCCACGCGACCACCACCAGTCGCGCGTGGGCTGAGTATACGGCGATGAAGCCCGTGCCTACGCAGATTCGAACCGGTGACCACATGATTTCAAGCCAGGCGTACAGACTACTCGGCTACCGGTCAAGGCAAGCCAATCTGGAAGAGAATCGACAGATGTGCCGCTTAGCTTAACTGGATGGGGCACTGACAAAAGGAGAGCGAAGCGATAGTTTAACACTGAAGTCGAATTCGCATGACCATTTTGGCTGAGTTTCAAATGAGTACAAACCAAGAGTAGTAGGCAGAACATAAGGGCCGAGTAGGGAACAACAAAAAAAGATAAGGTAGAAGCTAGAAAAGTACAACGGTCTTCTTGAACCTGCCATACCTTCGGCGCCAAAAGGGGGTTTCCCTAAATGTGAAACACTGTTTGTACAGTGCACAGTGAGTGATACCGTACAGTATGGGGGAGAGACAGCCATTTGGGTATGAGGAACAAAGGCACATTCAAGTCTTGGATCATCACCGCCTGCGGCGCATTGTCGGGTGACACCAGCGTGTCCGCAACGATGATGTGCGCAAGCGAATACTAGACAATGGTAACCCGGCTATTTCGTCAGAACAATAGATGGCACTGAATAAGTTGCGTTGGCTTGGGCACGTACTACGTATGTCTGATCACCGCTCACAGAGGAGGGTGTTGATTTGTTTGCCAAATATAGGGTGGTGCAAGGAATGAGATGGGCAGAAATTAACTTGGCAGCGGGAAATGAAGTTACTGAAGACCCAACTCGGTGCTGTCGGTCCGTCTCGTCTTCCAGGCTGGAGTCCAAGTGACCAGCATTGTGCTTGACTTGAGATCTTACATGACGTGGCTCGCAATCGGCAGCAGTGGCGAGTTTGCTGCCGTCGAACTGCCTGTTTAGTGTGTGTTTAGTGCTGAGTTATCTGCGGGGCAATGAAAACCGAAATAAATCTGTCCCATCATTCCCGTCTTAGCTTCGCAGGAAAGACAGTTGTTTGTGAACGTAGGTTGTTGACAAGACCCTGAATATTGGTCTAAGGTATTTGGGTTTCACGCTTGGACAGCATTCTCTCCCATTTAGTATTCTTCATAGCTTATGAAGTTATGGTTGGACGGTAGGAAGACCGAATGATATAACTTCGTCCGATTTGGTCCATCGTACATGGTGAGGCTGATAGGCTATGCTAAAGACAAAGCTTGTACCGCGCTGGTAGAATCACGATAGGTAGGCTAAGTCGGAACAGGATGGAAAGTGGAAAGTTAATTCTAAGACCGACTGAATAGCATAACATCACAGTAAGGAAAAAATGGGTTAATGAGCAGGTGCCTAAGAGCAGCTTGCTAAAGTATGCAGACAAAGGCGATCCACTCAGTGTAGGACACTAGGACGCATTGAAGACTATCCGATTTACAGACCTTAGAAACTACCATGTGGGGACAAAGAGGAACCGCGGTCGCCCAGGTGAACCTGGGTACGCAAAGTTGCGGTTAACTAACACCAAACTCATCCGATACACACTACTGCATAATTATACAATGTATTAAAACAAATCTCAAATTCAGAGAAAGAGAAAAGACACGACTTCAGACAGCGATAACTTGCATCACTAAAGAGACTGCCGAGTGTCGTACCTGATTGAGGACCCAAACACGCCACGCTGCAGGTTGTTGCATTCGGGTCGACGCACGTCGTGCCAGACGATAGCTCAACCAAGGTCATACTATCCGGTAGCCGCACAGAAGCCTTTTGCTTCTTTCGTTGGCCCGTTCGAGGGTCGTAGGTGAAACGAAGCAGCTGGATGCACAACAACGAGGGAGCTCGAGTGATGTAGGCACGGCGAACTCCGTTCTGCTTGCGCATACATCGTGGGCAAGCGTACTGATTTTCCCCGGTGAGGGATTCTTCCTAAAAATGGTCGAGAGGCAGTTACACAAATGTGAGATAGGTGAAGATTATTACCAAAGGCGAAGAACTCCAGATATGCTTAGCAAATGGGCTGGTAGGGAAAAACAAACGTAAACCAGTGGGCCCAGGAAGTGGAGTTCCTATAGGATGGCTACGCAACAAACTCTGCTTGTAGGATCACCAAATGCCGGTGGGGCAGGTAAGAATTCTAATTGGTGGGTGGTAATACCACCTATCAGTCCATCGGTGATTGTGAAGAAGCGAGCAGACAGGGTATGAAGTCGATTTGAGAAGACAGTCAATGACAAGTGAATCTTAAGTCGTAAACATTAATGCTGATCAATCTACAAATAGTGCCCCGGGTTTGTCCCTGTTCCGTGAGCGTAAATGGAAATAGTTGAATTGAAGAAACCAAACAGAATTCTATGGCAAAAGTTATAAAAACGGAACGAGAAGAAGGAACAGGAGACAAACCAATGGAAGAGCAGGAAAACGCGAGAACCCCGGGGATGGGTGCAGTAGTAAATGGAAAAACGAATAGAAGAGCGCTAAGAACTTTAGAAATGAGATGATCGCGGTAACCCGCGGTAACCACATGGCTATCGGCTGTGAGCTGCTTTCAAGAAGGCGGACTGAGTGCGAGAAAACATAATGGTAGCGAAGAAAATTCGCTGGAGTATAGTCACATCAGTTGTGTTCGTATTACGGGGAGTAGAAGGAACAATGTAGCAATTCAGTTAGCAGCCACGAAGTTAAGTTGGGACATCCCCATCTGAGGAATTCAAACAGTAGATCATCTGTGAACAGGATGTAGTGCTGGCTGGCAAGCAGCCCCGTTAACAGATAGACAGATTTTGTAAATGCAATTTCAAAACGATTGCTTATCGTAATTCGACGGAACCATTAGCAGCCACTTGTGTGTTCAGCGTGCCGAAAATGCATAACGAGAGAAACAAGCGATAAGTACCGAGTAATAAGCGCACCCGGTGACTGTGACCTGCTTCGACGGGACGATGACCGCCTCTTCATGTAATCAGCAGAGGTCAACATTCCGATAAATCCGATCAAGTAGCTATTCATGAGGCAGGGTAATGGTGAAAACGGTCAAACCTACACTGTCCAGGTCAACCGCTGCATCCCGCGACTTTCGTGAGAGATCTCGATGTACTCTCACGTTGCGACCTAAAGTCCGTGGACAACACGGATAGGCTTTATCAAAACGGACTTGGGCACTCAAGCGCAGTTTTAGCACTTGATCAGAGGAGTTTTCCAGTTGCCTTTTCGTCTCAATCATACGACTAACGCTAAAGTACGGCACATCCGAACACTGTCCTATCACCTGAGGTGAGGTAGAAAGGATTGAGCCGGTACATCATGTGGTCACCAGGCTCACCACAAATTCAAGAGATTTGCCGTAAAAAGATTGGTGCAAGAGACTAGAGCTTATCGTCGATTGCGAAATGACCTCATCGTGACGCATCGGGTATTGCACCTTGGTGATTACCCCACGTTGAGGTCACTGCTGAATATGCGCACACCAAACAGCATACGTGGACACTGGTAAGAGCTAGTAATACCGGATTTAAAGCGGGTGACCCATCAACAACCTACCGATGTACGTAGTCGAGGCAAAGTCCGTGTCGGAATTCAAGAAGTACCTAGAAAACACCGCCGATATGAAATATCGCGAATGCTTCCCTGAGGGAATTTAGATGCAGCTACACAGAGAAAACTTTTCCTGCTGCTTCCATTCAGTATTCAGTACCAATTGCTATTCCAGTTAGGGTACGTCGATGCAGAGGTCTGTCCACGTAGGTACTTAAAGGTTTGATTAACTACATAAGTTGTGCGGACTTAAATCAGGCAATTGGCGAGAAATAGAGGAGTGCTCTTTTACAGTCTGAACGAAGGGTGTGGACAAAAGCCACTGAGAGTGTAGCCTAGAAAAATAAATTTCTTCACCTTTAGATAATCTCGGATACACCCGGGTAACGAGTTGGAAGACACTTTGAGAGATAGCTCCAAAAAGTTTGACGGTTGCCTAGAGATGAGTCCGCAGTGAAGGCATCTAATAACAAAAGAGAATGTAAAGGAAGAAAAACAGGGTCAGAGATTGTCCATGGTATCGAATGACCGTTGATATATGAAAGCACTAAACGGCCAAGTTAATGACACAAAAAGTGCGGGGAGGAAAAGTAACGTGGGTGAAGTCTAAACGTAGAAGCATCAAAATACAGTTGTCGCCCTCAGTGATTACGGGTGAATATGGGCATTTTCTGAGCATTTGGAGATGTTAGAATCGGTGTCCGGTTGGAATTTTCAAGAGGGTAAATCAGTTAGGGACAGCATGTGCAAATAAAGGCCCCTGACTAAGTGACAGGTCACAGAAGCAGGGGACACACTCGTCTGGGGCGCTCAACAAGTCGACTGGGTACTGCACCGTCACGAGAACAAAATTACGCGTGTAACTCGCACTGTCTTAAGACAACTGATTTTAGCTTAAACTGAAAAATCGTCGAATAAACATCAGGAAAGTGAAGTAAATCGCTAAGCCTGCATCCGCTTGCGTCGTTGTTATTCTGCTCAAACAATGCGCGATATGTTGCACTCAGAAGGAAAAGGTCCTCCAATTACTGTTAAGTTTTCTCAAACCACTGCTTCTTTTTATGGTTTCTCGGTAATGAAAACCTTGAGCTCTCCAACTTTAGGTAAGCGTTGGGAAGATTTAGCCAATTCGGTATGCTATATCCCGTAGGCTCAGCTACGCATATGTTCTCAATATATTCGGCTGCTCTAACGAAGATCTGCAAGTCTATATGGAGCTATATGACGAGAACACTTCTTAAACGCAGACACAAGCGGAGGAACAGAACGTGAAGGGAATGCTTAAGAATGAACCAGTAAAACGGCTATAGGGTTCGAATAACTAATGGACGATAATAAACACTGACTGAGAACAAACGTTAGGGAATTGCGTTGTCCTCCGAGCTGGTTGTTTCGGTTGTAGAAGTTTTGCTACCACGATGGACAAACTCCGCTGAAGAACCAGTCTGTTAACGAAATGTTTGCAACCCAGTTAGGAGAACAACGCAACTCCCTTGTCCACCCCCGAGCTACAAGTATTGCCGATAATACCTAGAGAACAAGTGTGTTCTACATGGTGACGCCAGAAAAGATACGAAGCTTGACAGATAGTCACAGTTGACATCAACAATGCTGTTTAGATAAGGCAGGCAAAATGTCTACCAAATAGACATAGCTGGAGAAGCACAGGCGTAAAGTTGCAAGAAATTATTTATTGTTGGGAAAGAAACGTTTAGTAGCAGCCCATTCGCCGAGTAATCAGGTGTGCGAGTTCAAAAAACGAGGACACAAGCAGGGGTCCGAAAAAACTGCGTCACTCTACTTCCCGAAGCCCACGCAAAACACATGATAAACGAATGGGATCAAAGCAAAAATATACGATCAAACAGAAGCTTAATAGAATGTTTCGGTCACATAGGTCACATGTGAAAATTTCTTTCTTTCTAGGACACATAATATGGTTCGCATAACCTTCACAGTATTACCTAGTTTCGTACACGTATTCGCCACGTATGAGGTCGTCCACCACGGAGATACCTGCCTCCAAGAATCTCGATTCTAACAGGTGCATAAACAAGTTGTGGAATTCTGGGGCGTCCTGAAAGAAGGGGTGGTGGAATTGAGAAGACAAAAGAAAGATGGTAGAGGCATCAGCAAAAGATAGCTCGTTGGAAACCTGCACTTAGAAAATATCGGTTTCGGGTCTCAGTTCTGTCGCCATACCGGATTAAACGACACTGGAGAAATATAGTGGGTTATATGCAAACCGCTGAATTGCAACAGATAATAAATTATGCGTCAGAGGTAGCTATGAAGGCATATGGCATTTCGTTTCTTTTACCTGCATTCCAAATAGACCTAAACATGACAGAGAACGGACAGGACCTAGCCTCTGTACATGTGTTTCGGTATGTACTGATAGAGACCACTGCACTAGTTGAATGAAGGAGTAAACAGACAACCACCACCGATAAGCCACGCGAAGTGGCCGAATGGATTACATATCCTGTGATTGGACTATGCAATCAAAGAAACGAAATGGATTTAGATGACAAAACAAGCGGCTAGATTGCCGCAAGTGAACGGAGCAGATGATTAGACGCCTATGCATCTCTGCCTCTACGCTAACTTGTCACTAGTTGGTTGCGTTGATGAGTTTGGTGGACTGAAGCGAAAGAAGAATCTCATGGATGCAAAAGTGTCATTAGTGACAGAAGCAACCTATTTATATATACACGGAGACTGCTGCAGATTAATTTTAATATTACTTTCGCTGAGACTGCCTTGTCGAATAAACCTTTTTTCCTTGAAGGAACGCGTTCTGTAACAGTTGTATCACATATGGTGGTTATATCATCACTACCGAAGTCAGTGCACGTACCAGCAAAACGAGTGCAGCTCCCCGAAGTCTCTTGCAACTAGGGACACGCAAGCATAGCAGTGCATCACAACCGAATGAAGAGTGCAAAACATTGTGGCAACGTCGATGTCACTGCGTAGCTCGGAAGTATGGTCGCAACGTACTGGTTGTACCAGGAATTTCGGGCGTCGTGGATTGCCCACGTTACCAGGTCCACATCGGCCGGTGGCCGAGTGGTCGGTGCACCTGGTTCGCAAATCCACGTAGGGGTGAGCGCCTTCGTGGTATACTCAGCCCGCGCGAGACTGGTGGTGATCGCGCGACAGCGAAGCGCCGTTCAGGACTAAAAGGCAGGACTCCAGGCGACCCACTTGGAGTTTGGCTCGATACTTTACATGTCCAGTAGCCAGAATCAGTGGCGCATTCACTGCTGTCTCGTAATCGGACTGTCTGTTTAAAGTGTGTTTGGTGCTGAGTTATCTGCGGGGTAATGGCTGATTACAACGCGGAATAGTGAAAGCCTCAAGGAAGCTGTCTTGCCGATGCCGCCTTATCTTTGAATCATAGCTAGCTGTTTGTAACGGTATATTGTTAACACAAGGTGAAGCCGCCTTGACTCTGAATGTCTGCTTAGGGCATTAAGGTTTTCAGGTAAGTCCCCTTCTCTCCCTCTTATTATTCTTTATTTCATACGTCATCATGGTTGTATGGCAGCGAAGCATCAGTTCAAATGGCTGATGTACTGCTGTTGATGATGACGATGATGTGTTTGGTGCTGAGTAATCTGCAGTGCAATGGCTGATTAGGACGCAGGGCAGTGAAATATGTAAGGAAGCTGTTTTGACGATACCGCTCTATCACCGCAAGATAGGAGCCATTTGTGGCGGCATGTAGTTGACAAGCTGTAGACGCCATGACCCAGAATGTTTTCTTAGGGCATCTAAGCTTCACACTAGGCTTCCTTGTCCCCTCATGTTATCTTGCATTTCTCAAGTCATCATGGCTGTATGCTGGCGAAGCACCAACTCAAAATACCGAAGTACTAACTTGGACGATGACGATCAACTGCGATACAGTAGTTGCATAATACTTAGTTTGCTTAACTGATTCCGAACACATCGGATAAGGACGCCAATCGGTTGTTCGAACTCACATAGAACATGCAATGCACTTGACCTATAATCCAACACACTGAGCCATGTAATTCAATGTCTACTTGGTTCAGACAACTGGATCAAGACCAAACCACAACTGACAGACCAAATACAGACCACAATACACTGCAGCAGAATGATCCAGTCTGTATATGGGAATGACATGTGCAGCACCAGAAAAATGCCTACTCATTTGGATATAATCCGAAGCTGGAGTCATTATGGTGATATATCGGAACTTGCAAAATGGTAAATACTGCCGCTGAGTATGCCTGATCGCTACCCCCAACTGGTACTTTGTCCCGGTAAATTATTTAACTGTATTTGTACAAAATACAGGCACATGCTGTGTTCAACAATGTAAAAAAAATTTGGAAAAAGCCCCTGTGTGAAGAGCTTGGTTTGCGTCCCGAAAATGAAGCGCCAAGCATGAAGAACGAGGTTCAATGGCCTACCTGCTGTTCCTCCTCACAGAGCCGCAGAGCCTCAATCAGTCCACCAGGATCGACAACACTAATGGAAGGAAAACAGAAACACTGAGATCGCGAATGAAAAAGGTGGAAAGAGGGAATTGCGGGCAGTGTGATATCATGAGGGATAATCGATGGGAGTTGAGAAAAGCAGGAATGAAGAAAAGCGTGCTGAACTCACCCGCAGGTTCCTAGTTCCAGCTGACTAAATATGAGTTGTAGGTGATGAATAATTCCGGTTTCGTCCTCTGTGTGAAATATGTAAAGAAGTTAGGCAATCTGAGTCTAAGCGAGTAAAAAATATGCACAGATTAAAGGACAGTTTCACACATTCGCCAAGCTAGCGTAATGTACACTAATCACAGAGCTCATAGAACGTCAACTTCTGTAAGGTATCGGTCAGCAAATCTGTTGTCTTTAATTGCGTATCCTGCAAGCCGGGGAACTCATGGGTTGTTTGTTTGGCTGTATCGTGAAAATATAGTATCGCATCCGCAAATGGTGTGAATACCATCACAACAAACCAAAGGGGAAGATGCAATGGTCAATATTACAACACAAATAGATGGAACTTACGTTCTTCTGGTAGCGAAAATATGGCTTGTCGAAGTTTGCCGAATCGGACGTACAGCTGGAGGAAAGCATTCAAGTAGCAGGTGCTACCATAATTCTTCAACCCATTGCGTGGCACCTGCGAAAGAAAACGAGAACCGGCTTTCCGAGGAATTGATGCGAAGTGTGTAAGAGGAGAGTGTAAAGCCAAAAAGGTGGAAAACTCCTGAATACTCACTATCTTGGCTAGTGAGTGTCGGAAAAAGCGGATGTAAATGCATCTTCGGATATATATATATATATATATATATATATATATATATATATATATATATATATATATATATATATATATATATATATATATATATATATATATATATATATATGGTTGGCGGCATCCGGTTTCGGATTTGCCTGTCACTGTGGTTAGCCACAGGACGCCTGCGCCTACAGAGGGACCATGGATGGCTTGCGCTGCACCACCCACAGCTCCATCCACACACCCCATATCCAGTGTAAACCCGAAGGAATAAGACCGGGAGGCATGCGGATGGGAACCACGTTTCATCAACGGAGCCGGCCCACACTCCTTCACAAACACAAGCACGCTGTATTTGGGGAATCAAGTACACACAAGGCGGTGGCTGGACCGTAGTCCGCTCCACACTGAGTGCATGGAACCACTCTTCGAGCCTAGCACGACCACAAGGACCGTGCACCCCGTCCCCTCCAGCAACGACCAACTGTCTCCTGGAGCCAGTATGGAAGAGGTAGTGGGTAATAGACAGGTAGGCACCTTGTCAACATGCACATCAAGCGCAGCCACACATGGGATGTCAAACAACAGCCAATCATTCGAAATGCCGATATCGATTAAAGTAAATGCATATGACGACATAAATACTCGCTAAATGAGCATATAGAAGAAATTGGTTATAAGTGAATCCGTGATAAGTACAAAATGTCCGAAAGTTAGTTAAAAAATACCACGCGATAAAATTACGCAAGTTTACCACAATTTGCGTGAACGACGTGTGCAAGTAAGGAGAAGATTATCAAGTACGCAGAACAAACCAAATAACAGGTAATGAATTTTATCCACATTAAAAAGACCTAATTTAAGTGTAAGTTGGTTTAGCCCAACTGCGGTGAAGAAGCATCATGAATGCAACATCAGCCTCAGCAAGGGGCACACATACATACATGGTTGGCGGCATCCGGTTTCGGATTTGCCTGTCACTGTGGTCAGCCACAGGACGCCTGCGCCTACAGAGGGACCATGGATGGCTTGCGCTGCACCACCCACAGCTCCATCCACACACCCCATATCCAGTGTAAACCCGAAGGAATAAGACCGGGAGGCATGCGGATGGGAACCACGTTTCATCAACGGAGCCGGCCCACACTCCTTCACAAACACAAGCACGCTGTATTTGGGGAATCAAGTACACACAAGGCGGTGGCTGGACCGTAGTCCGCTCCACACTGAGTGCATGGAACCACCCTTCGAGCCTAGCACGACCACAAGGACCGTGCACCCCGTCCCCTCCAGCAACGACCAACTGTCTCCTGGAGCCAGTATGGAAGAGGTAGTGGGTAATAGACAGGTAGGCACCTTGTCAACATGCACATCAAGCGCAGCCACACATGGGATGTCAAACAACAGCCAATCATTCGAAATGCCGATATCGATTAAAGTAAATGCATATGACGACATAAATAGTCGCTAAATGAGCATTTAGAAGAAATTGGTTATAAGTGAATCCGTGATAAGTACAAAATGTCCGAAAGTTAGTTAAAAAAATACCACGCGATAAAATTACGCAAGTTTACCACAATTTGCGTGAACGACGTGTGCAAGTAAGGAGAAGATTATCAAGTACGCAGAACAAACCAAATAACAGGTAATGAATTTTATCCACATTAAAAAGACCTAATTTAAGTGTAAGTTGGTATATATATATATATATATATATATATATATATATATATAATTCACAGTCTGTTAACATTGTGCCACCAGAACCATGGCAGAAGAAAAAAGAAAAAAAGTGAAGATGGGAACATGAACTGCGATTAAAAAAGATGGGAAACGATTTTCTTGGTTTTACAAACGCCATTTTGTATTTTTTGTTTTGTTTTGTGGGTTTTTGTGTGCATCAAAGAGATGGGAAAATGGGAAAACAACATTGACGCCACTGATGTCTGTTGCGGGCCATGACGTCTAATGTTTTCAACCACTGCGATTCAGAATCTCGTGGTCCCCAACCTGGAAGACGGATTGGTCCGACTGTTGCCAAACTTGAGGTTGCCTTCTTCATGCTCCTTCTCCACCTCATTGGCTGTCCACCGCGGCAATTTTTCCAATCGTTCCCTGGGAGTGCAAATAGCGATCGACGTGGAAGGCGATGGGCTGGCATGCGCAGAACGTGTCCGAGCCAACACATGCAACGTCGGAGAATAACCTCCTGAAGACTGACACTATTCGCCCCAAGCACGCGGTCTCGCACCTCTGCGTTGCTTACGTAGTGTTGCCACCACACCCGAGCAATCCTTCGTACACAGCGATTGTCGAAGACTGACAGCCGTTTCATCTCTCCCGAGTAAGCAGACCAAGTCGCACAGCCGTACAAGAGTACTGCACGGACGGAAGCATTGTACACCCTGCCCTTGAGCTTGAGACCGACATCACGATGACGTCATAGATGTCTCAGTTTGATGAATGCAAGGCGAGCTTTTGCAATCCGTTGTGAGACTTCATCTCCAACACCGCCACCAGCCGTGATTCAACTCCCTAGATAAGTAAAGCAAGTGACTTGCTCTAGAACATGTCCAGCAATGGTGAGCGCGGGTTCAGGCACCTGCCAGTCCTGGAGCAGCGTATTACATTTTCCCGGAGTGAAGCATAAGCCGTACCTAGACGCCTCCATCGCCAAGCGGTCCAAAGCGCTCTGGACGGATTGTGGGTCGTCCCCAAGCAAAGCGATATCATCGGCGTAGTCCAAGTCCGTGACTCTGTCTCCAGGAAGGAGCTCAACACCGCAGTCCTGGACACATTCCAGTGCTCTTTGGAGAACATCCTCGATGGCGAAATTGAAGAGGAAAGGTGAAACAGGGCAACCTTGGCGAACACCGCTGGTCACAGCAAATGAAGAAAAGTGTGCGTCCAACGTTGCCCGACGTGACTGTAAAGTTCTTCCAGGATAGTTACAAATTTCTCGGCACACGTTTCTTCAGTAAACAGTTCCACAACGCAGATCTATCTACTGAATCAAATGCCGCTCGGATGTCTAGAAACACTACGATTGTTGGCCGCCGGTAGATGTGACAAAGTTCGAGAATTTGCCGAAGCGTGAAGACTTGGTCGATGCAGCCGCGGCCTGGACGAAATCCGGCTTGTTCTTCTCGGGAAAACTCCTCTCTAGTCGTTGAAAGCCTGCTAAGTAGGACCGAGACGAAGATTTTGGATGCGACAGAGATTAACGAGATTCCACGGTAGTTGCAGCAATCGGCGCGGGAGCCCTTCCTGTGAATCGGAACAGTGACCGATTCTCCCCATGCGTACGGAACCTTCTCCTCAGTCCAAACTTTCGTGAACAGCGATAGGATTTCGCTGACAAGTACACTCCCGCCATCTTTGAATAGAGCCGGTGGTAGGTTGTCGGGACCCAGAGCCTTGTGGCGTTTCAAAGATTGGATTGCATTTCGAATCTCTGCTTCATTTGGGGGAGGGACTGTGGACACAGGCCAAGCATCATACACTGGGGCTGGAGGTGTCACATGGGGCTGTGTTGGGTGGTTGAATTGAAGAGCGAAATGCTCTGTCCAGCGACCCAAACGCCTGTGAAGGTTGTTGATTTTCGTGCCGTCTGATTCGCAAATCGTCTGGCTGATACCGTGGAAATTGCAACCAGTGGCCCTGACGATGTAAAATAGACGGCGCAAGTTGCCAGCTGATGCAGCGGCTTCCATCTCATCAGCTTGTTTTGACCACCAAGATTCACGATCAGAGCGAAGGTTTGCTTTCAACTGTTACGTAATAGACCGGCAGTGTTCGTTGTACTCTGCGCCAGCAGGCACCGCCTGTCGGCGATCCAGCAATTCCGAGGATCTTCCCGAGATCCAGCTTTTGTGAGTGGAGCGAGCAAGGCCACAGCTGGACAAACCGGCCGACAGCAAGGCTTGTTGCAGACTTGACCAGTGTTGATCAACATCCAGAGTGTGAGAGAGAGGGAGCTTTTCGCGAAGCTTTTGTTGATACTCTTTCTTCACCATTGGGTCCTCCAACTTGTAGGTGTTCAGTCGGGTGTATTTTGACCTAGGCGAACCACCGAAACGCAGGCAAACGGTCGCAAACACCAGTGCATGATCAGTATCGACGCATGTTGACCAAAATGATCGGCAGTCGCGTACGCTGCCGCGCCACCTGCGACTTATGGCTATGTGATCAATCTGTGACCAGCGTTGGGTTGATGATGGGAGGCGCCAAGTGGCGTACTGGATGACGAAAGCTGGTGCTGGAGAGGAATAGTTGATGACCAGCACACAGACTGAGCAGTCTCTCTCCATTGTCTGAGGGAACATCATCATATCCATGCGGTCCCCCGAGGTGGCGCTCACATGGCAGCAGACGGCCGACACGCACGTTGAAGTCACCTGCCAAAACAATGATGTCTGTTTTAGGAGACCTTAGCAGCAGCTCATGAAGGTTCTGGTAGAACTGGTCTTTGACGGCGTCCGAGCTACAGTGGGCGCGTAGGCAGAGATCACGAAAAGAGCACGCTTTTCGACTCGACGTCTGCTAACTTTACAAGAGCCATGGAGCCTTATCGCACAAAGGCGGCTACTGGTCGGAATCCAATCAATCAAAGCAGTCTCGGCTCTAGCGCTCAGGGCGATTCCAACAACAGCTTGCCCAGATGCGGCAGACTCGGTGTCACCAGAGAGGCGTAGATGGAAGCGGGTGCGTGGGTGGAGCGGTGACACCAGCTGGTAGACCGAGCTAGAGTCCTGGAGTGGTTTCAGTCAGGCAACTGATATCAATTCCAAGGGTCTCTAGCGTGCGTGCAAAACCAGATTGCTGACCGATCTGCAGTAATGTGTCTACGTTGAAGGCTGCAAGTCTGAACTGCGTTC